CCCACATAGAGTCTTCAAAGGGTGATTGGGCAGGGCATTTTCCCTTTCTCCATTCAAGTTTTCACTTCTGAAAAAAGGAAGAAAATACTTACCATTCTTGATGATGACAGTAGCTAAATTCTGTGATTCCCCCCCCCCCCCCCCCGAGTGACATGGGTTGAATGCTGCAGTTTTCCTCTGGGCTGTTGGTTGTAGCTGTGTTAGTCTAAGGACACAGGCAGGCAAGTTGCTTTAAGGAGATGTGATCTCTTTTTTTAGACCAACTGAGTAGCTGGGGGAAAGTTCTTGGCAAGCTTTTGGGCGCAATCACTCTTCTTTAGGCATAGGGAGTCTCTGCAGTTTTCCCCTGCAGTTTCTATTGGATGTGTTTATGTAGCAGTGTCAAACCGCTGAGAAAGCCCAAGAGAGACTTATTTCCTGAGCTAACCAGGCTTCTTCCATATATTGCATGTTTAATACATAGGAATGGTCCCACTTACAACCGGTAGATGGCAGCAAGGAAGGCATGACTTCATTCCTAACCTTGCCAGCTATATTGCGATGATAAATACAGCAAGCAGCACTGGGGACGTGTTGTGCTCAGAGGGCTAAGCCATCCCTCCTGCATGGCTTCCTTCTTCTCATCTGTCACTCACACAGCAAAAATGAAAGCCAGAGCTAGTACTGGAAGAGCTGGGAAAACAATGCACGGTAAGGGTTTATTTAAGGAAGGGTGAGAATAGAGGCTCGGATCCTGCAAGAGTCCCAGCAGCTGCTAACCCCTGATCTCAGTATCCTGCACGAAAGGGTCTGAGGCACGCTGAGCTAAAGACACGTTTCATCGAGCGGCTCAATACACAGGTTTGTGTGCAAAGCAATGATCGGTACCCGATCAAACCACACTCACATGGCCTTTCCATTCTCTTTGTTTGAGTCTGTCTTTGTGCGCGATGACACACACCAGCTGACAAACTGCAAAGCTCAAAAAAGAGCCTTGCGGTGCGGCAGGAAACAAGTGTCCACATGGCATCTACGGCACCTTCATTTGCAAAGTCAGATGTCCCATTTCCTGTCAGACTGGTCTCTTTTAACCAGTTTGGGCTTTGCTTTTTTTTTCTCTTGTTGTTGAAATTTGGGGTCTGGGGCCGGATCAGTTCTGAATGCTATCAAGCGTGGTTGTTCAAGCCTGTGTGGTGCAAGTATCCTGCCTCCCAGACTCTTCAGCCTGGGGCTCCCAAATCCATGGCAGGCATCCTACATGCAGACCCCAAGCCTTGGAGTTTAGATGCTCCCTAGTTTCACTTGCCCTGAGCCAAAAGGCTGAAGCAGCAAGCTAGAGGGAAAGCCTGAGAGCAGCCCACCATCACCATAAATTGTGTAGCTGAGATCCTCCCCCTGGCAGGCTTTAGTAGACTCTGGCAGGGGCGCCTGCTCACAAGGCACTGGGCAGGTCTCCACCCTCAACTACACCATGCTATTCAAGGCTGAGAAGAAGGGGATGTCTAAGTAAAACCACCTGGGCTCAAAACCATGCTCATGGTATCTCCCCTGACAGCTACCAGTGTGAACTGTAAGATACAGCGAAATAGTAACGTCCCTCCCAGTGCATTTAACAAATTGCACTTCACAGGCCCCACGAGTTGTGGCCACTTTACAGAAGAGGAAATGGAGGCACCAAGAAGTTGTGGCCGGCGAAGAGATTGCTCAATGAATCAGCAGCTGAGCTAGCTACAGAGCCCAAGAGCCCTAGCTTCCTGCCCTGCTGCTATAATCAGTCTTTCTTTCTCATTTAATTCCCTTAAAACATTCATGGTAGGCTGAAATCTCTGCACTTCAGGCCACAGGTGATTTTTTTTGACAATACAAGTAATGCAGTGTTTTCAGGGAGGTGGAGAAGGAATGAACACAAAACACTTCTTTGTGTTGGGATCTCTTGTTTTGCAGACACTCCTGGTTAGAAACAGTCACAGCCGGAACAGACTGAAATGACTTCAGTTTAATTATTGTTTTACATAAAACTGTACAACCCCCACCCTCCGGGGTGCGTAGAAAGCCTGAGACAATTAGGAAAGTATTACATACAAAAATACTATTTACAGTGAAACAGGAAATGGAGGTTGGGGGGGGATCAGGACTAGATTTTACCTACATCAATGGTTCTTCTCTCTCTCTCTCACTTCACCCTTTCCACCTTGCAAGGCTGCACTTTCAATATGCAAACAGAATGATCTCAGAGCACTTTTCTTGATCTGTGCAGTCTCTGAGCAGGAAAACCCACAGCTGATTTAACCCCTTCCCTCCTTACGAAAAACCAGCACTCTCTATGTGAGCTGTTCTCCCTTTCCACCCCACCAAAACCATTGCCCCTTGCTGCCACCAAAGGGGAAAGTTCCTCACTCCCTCACCCCAAGCAAGCACCCAGGGCTGAATGTGAGCCTCTAAATGCCCCTCACATCCTTGTATCCATCTAGCATGAAATGCCCTCTGCAGCTTTTGTGTTTTCGCCCATGCATACACGCTGGCTATTCTTGGAAATGACCAAACCACTCATTGTTGGGCTGGAGAGAAGAATCAGTGCAAGGATGGTCTCTGTCTGGCTATAGCCATGCTTTGACCCTTTAAAAGGAGTCCGATGGAAGAGGTTAGGGCCCCCAGAGTCGCTTCTGGTGTTACAAGTGGGCTATATCTAGCCTGCTTAGCCCCAAAGTGATGGGGGGGCTCCAAGCACCTAGGTCTAAGCTATAATTCGATGGGGTGAGGGAGGCTCCCGGCCCACTTGACATTTCCAGCTCGGTGGTTTCTCAGGGAAACGTCCTGTTTCAGAAGCCTGATGCAAAGGACTCGGTGCCAGCAACAAGCACCAGGAAGGTTTAGACTCCCAGGCCCTTTGTGCATCAGAGTTCATGATGCTTAGGCCCCAGCAATCCCAATACCGAGACAACCCCTCCTCAGTGTAAATGTGAGGGGTGGAGGGGGGTCTTCCAACTTCAGCACTGGAGGTGAAAGGCCAGTCGGGCTTGCTTTCCTCCTGTGTGCATGGCAGATGTCTGTCCCCAAGCACTCAGAGGGGCCTGTTGCGGGCTGCTCAGTCATCCATGCGGTGGTGGGGTTCGAGTGCAGCGATCGCCAGAAAATGCTCTGCTGGCTTTGGCTTTGGCTTTGGCTTTGGCGGGGAGAAGAGGAGCCCTCACACCAGCTCATCCAGGAGGGTCCCGATGCCTTGGTGGGGCTCTGTGGAGCCTGCAATAGGTTTGTTGCACATCGGGCACACGCAGCGCACTTCCAGCCATTTCACAAGACACCTGCGGGCCACAAGCAAAAAGACAGTGGGTGGGTGGCTCCGGCTCCCTTCCTCAGGTCCCTGGGCTCTTTTCCCAAGCACCAGGTCACCAAACCCATGGGGCTCCTGCCACTGACAGGCACCCAACCCTTCTTTCTTCCTGCTCTCCTCCCATTACCTTCCCTTGACTACCAAATTGCCGCTGCACATTAACCAGAGAGGGTCAGCCCTAGGGAGCGCCTCTTGCTGCAGCACCCTGCCCTCTTACTAGTTTGGAAATGAGCTCCATGGAGAGAGGAAGAAACAACGAGGAGAGCAGGGGCTCTGTGCTCCCGGGGGAATCGTTCTCCTTCCAGTGCCCAACCCGGTCCGTTGTCATGCTGATATTTGGAGCGGCTGAGATGGGAATCACCCGACCAGGCTGGGTCTTAACCCTCCCAGGGAGTTGGCCATGCTGGCTCCGCAGCCAGGGAAAGCTTGGATGCTTGCTAAAAGCTAGACTGGGAGCAGATGATGAAGATAATATTGGGTGCACCAATTTTTTCCCATCCAAGTTGCTGAAGGCTGCTCTTCGGCAGCCGGAGAGGGAGCAAGGTCCAGATGCTGGGTCTCTTACCACCCAGGAGTGACGTGGGGCATAGAGCGAGCCTCTTGCACACTTGGAGCACATCTGTGGCGCCAGGCCTCTACCTGATTGTAAGCATGAGCGGTGTAACCACACAGCAGGCCTCCTGCCCGCATGGGAGCCCAAAGCAAGCAATGGGCTGTCCTTGGCAGCTACTCACTTTCTGTGGAAGGCATGTTGGCATGGCAACACTCCCAGCTCATCTTTCACTTTAAAATCTTCCAGGCAGACGGCACAGGTCTGCTGCGGGGAAACAGAAGGGGAGGGACAAACAGGCAGGACAAAGCATCACGACAAAACTCAGAAAACAGTCTCCGAGCATCGCCTGCTGGCAAGGGGCTCCCCCCTGCAGCCTCCCCCCTGGATGCTGCCAGAAACCCCAGTCTCGCTGCTCAGGGTGGGCAGACTTACCCCTTGCAAGTTTAACTTCTTGGCATCACCCTTCAAAACCACCTGGAGGGCACAAGGGGAAAGGAGGCAGCAGATTAGTATCAGAAACAACTGGCAAAGAGGCCGGGGTGGTGATGAGAGTGAGTGCTGGGCTGGGGGAGCTGTCTTGGTGGCAGAGGTGATATCTTTGCTTAGGCCAACTAGGTATTTGCCAAAAAAAATCTTGATTTGCAAGCTTTTGGGCGCACGCACCCTTCATCAGGCATAGGAGATTGCAAGGACTGTACAAGTTCTCCTAGGTCGAAAAGAAAAGTCATATTTTACAACCAGGGCGAGCCACGCAGCTGCTCCCCAGGGAGCAGCTCCCCAGGGTAGCCCCGGGACTGGCGTTAGCAGGGCAGGACTCACGAGTCTTGGCAGGGCCTGGACTGGAAGAGCAGGTTGGGCGGCAGGTCATGAACGAGGAAAAGCAACAGAGCTGCCAGGAATCGCAGAACCAGAATAGCCGGTCCGGCCGCACGCCGGCAGCTGCCAGGGGTCGCAGATCCCGAACAGCTAGCGGGGCTGCAGGCCCTCCACACGCCCACTCCAGCTGGCACTGCTATGCCCCCGTCCCTGGTTTCTCTCCCCAAATAACACCCCTTTTGGGACTCAGCAGCAGGCTTTGGGCAAAGAGCCTCTGAAATAGCTGGTCGTTTCCCTGCAGAGGGCAGCAACTGGCCATCTTGGCTTACCTCCCCTGCTTTACATTGTAATCACTTATTATAGGTTGGCCTCTACCAGTACAGACCTCGTTTCTCCGTGTGGCCAGTTTTCCCCTTCCACCGGCTCAGCTTTGATGCTTTTTTCCGCTCAGTGGCATTTGCGAGCTGATAGCTCAGCCCTAAATGAAGCCAGAGGCCGATACACGGCTGCACTACAGCACTATTCCTCTTCAGCCACAAAGCCTTCATGCTCAGGAAGTAAGTGGGATGGAGGGTTCCCTGCACAGGAGTGACTTTTATCCTCTTGGGAACATATACTGGGATCCTGCCTCTGGAGAGCAGAAAGCAGCCCAGGAGCTGGTAGTTCACCCCTAGGTGAACAGTTTTGCACTAATGTTATCCCTTTGGATGGCTTTTTGACTTGTGCAGAACGTAAAAGTTGTCGGTCCTGCTCCTTATGGACCAGTGCCCCTCCGTGGCACTTATCTACTTACGTGTAAATAGGTAGATAAGTGCCAGGGCCAATACCACAGGCCCAGTGCTAAACTGTATAGGAGTAAATGGAAATCAACCCCAGACTTTACCTCCTTGTATCCAAATCTCTCGCTCTGGGCCTGATGACGAAGTTTGCTAGGGAGGGAAAAAAAAATATATATTCTGTTATAAACTCCACTGTGCATAAAACAACAGTTCAGGCTGATAAGGGACACTGATGCAAGCTGAAGCCAGTGAAACCCAGAAAATGCAGCACGTCTATCAGGAATGTATGCATCAGGAAATACAGTGTTTTTATCACCTACAAATCCACCAACACAATCGCATCATCCGTTTCCCCTCAAGCCCACGCCGACCACGGTCAGAAAAGTTATATTCAGGCTACCTTTGCTGCTCTGACCTTCAGGCAAGTCTAACTGGACATGGGAATTTCAGCGGCATAATGAGGAAATCACAGCCACACCTGCAGCAAGCTATGGACGCAAATCTGCCCAAACTCCAGCAGAGGCACAGGGGAAGCTCAGCTTTGGACCCTGGGATAGGACAGGGTTCGAATTAATCACGACCCATCACAACTTTAGCCATGAAAGCTGTTTAGGATCTGGTAACTGGTGACCTCTGTCCAACTCATCTTGGGACAACCGCTTATCTCACAGAAAAACAACCTTCCCATTTGCTATCAACAGGCCCCTTTGCTGCTGCTTTGCCAGAGAAGCCAAGGAATGAATGGGCCCCGGAGAATGAGTTCCCTTCTTCTGGCTTCACCAAGATGATCACCCAGGGAAAGAAAGGATAATTGTATGAAAACTGTGGGACAATGCATGTTTATTAAGTGACAGCACCCCAAAGATATTTATTCATGGAGCAAAATCCTGTACTGCAACCACAGTGAATGAGCCTTTTCATAGTCCTGGCTTGAGAACAGACCTCTTTCTGACCAAATGCATCATCGCCGGGCCTTAGTGGATATGGGTCATAGGACATCAGGCATCAAATAAGGGACATTTTTTATCATTCAGGACAAGGGGGCACAGTTGGGCACATTGACAGGGGCACAGTATGAAGGCTGCTGCCTGCTCAGTACTGGTCCCATGGATAAATGGGCAACTCCAGAGCTTTCAGTCGAGAACCCTTTGCCAATACTAAAGTCAATATTAATGCTCCCATGCTGCACATGTCCTTAAATCGGCTCAGAGCGTCACAGTTAATGTTTACAAGTCACTTTTTTCACTTTCGAGGATCAGCCCTGCTCTCTGCCTTCCTCAAAGCTGAACCCCAGGTGGAAACAGCGCAATACTTTCAGCGTAGGGTGCTGCCATTTGGGGGAGCCTGACGAGAGATGCCTTGGGCCTGCTCTCTGGCATACCAGCCCCTGCATTTCAGGTTCACTTCAGCAAGAATAGTTTTTGCTGAAAATCGGGTGCCTCGTGAAGGGCATCTTTGCAATAGGAGCCTCTAAACTCAAAGACTGGCCTGTGGCATTGTAGCTGTGGGGACTTGTTTAAGGTCAGGGATAGGGATCAATGCCAGAGGAGGGAGCGGAACTGATAACCCCACATAAGCACAGGGACCACAAAGCCAGGACTCTCCACGGGCCAAATCAACCTGAGTCTGTGTCCCTTCGCTGCTTGGAAAGAGAAACCTCTGAGCCAAGATGCTGCCAGGGAGGGGATTATTTTGGTCATTATTTCTTCTTTGCATTTTTCCCTTTTCATTGCAGCAGCTCAGAGGGTTTGGGTTGGGGGGGGTGGGGCACTGAGCTCGCATTCACTGCTCACTTCTGTTTTGCAAAGGCAGCCAGCTCATGGCTGATCAGAGCCTAGCGTCTCCTGAAATATCATCAGGAATTGGAGGACAGGGCCCGATAAGATCATGCAGCCTGCGGCCCTAATTGTTTCGCTTAGGAAGTAGTTAGAGTTCCAGGAAGCGCTGTATTTCCAGAGCAATGCTGACCCGCCAGCAGCCGCTAAGCCTGGCCTGGCCCTGACCTTGGACTGAGGATGGGGGTGGCCAGCACTTTCACAGGACTCCAGGGGGACGTGATGTATGGCGGTGATAAAAGAAACTCCCAGCCCGGCGCAGGCAACTGCTCGCTTGTTTGTCTCCCCTGCAAGCGAGGCCTGGAGAAATGCCGCCACTGGCCCCCACAGATGTGGAAACACTTCTTGGATGAGGGATACCCTTCCATTATCTTGGCTGAGCACCGCGGGGGCCTGGGAGGTCCGTTCCCCCAGCGACTGAGCCGTATCTGCAATTTGGACATTGCTTCCCTTCCTGCTGCCAGACCCTTGCAAACTGGATCCAGCCCCAGAGGGAGAGGAGGGCTGCTCTGCAAACACCCAGCGGCCATGAGGGGGAGGCCGAGTGGCTGGGAACATGTAGTGTGAACCGATAATACTTGCACCAGGGACAGAGTGGCCCTCCTGGATCATGGGACAGCAGGCTTTCTCTTCCTGTTCACTCCTCGCCCGCTTTGATCCGTGCACGTGGAGCCAGCTCCTTTGGGATGGGACAGGGCACCGCACCTGGTCACTCCATCCCCCAGTTTTTGCAGCCTCCTCCCTGCCCTCTTTGCTCTGGTCTAGGACGCCAAACTCTCACTTGCCCCCAGCTGCTGGCCTGCAATGAACAGGGAACTATTTCCCTGTTGAGTTACAGATCTCCCACCCACAACGCGAACTGCAATCAAGGGCCAGGACTACCTGGCTCACACCACCTCCCCGTGCAGGATGATCACCACTGACAATATGAATCTAACCCCCCATGTCCATCCCTATGCATGTCCTGTGTCCCTGTGCTGTGAGCCTGGAGTCCATATATGCTCCTGCACAGAGCCCAGGCCTCTACAGCTGGACATAAGGGAGTAAGTTAGCAGGGAGCAGTAGTAGGCTGTTATCTTCCAGTGAACCAGCCACAGGAAGGAAGGACGTGAAACAGCACAGAGGTCGTCTTTATAGTCCACGTGAGTTGTGGGAGCAAAATGGCAGGTGTTCCTACGGAGAGGTAGGGGTGGCTGGCCCGAGGTTACGTGCCTCTGCCTTGGCTGCATCTCATTGCATGTCTCCCAAGGTCTTAGCTTATTCCCAGCCTCCAAGTACATGTGAGGCAGCAAAGGCCTGAAAACCCCTGCCCCACTCTCGCCCACCCCCACATGCACACGCGCACAGACAGAACGGCCTTTATGTGCTGCCGTCAGGAGCAGAGGAACAGCTGCAGAAACAGCCCACTATCAACCAGAATAATTTCCCAGGCAACCTCTGTCCCCGTGCACCCCACCCCCCCAACGCACACACGCCAGATGAGACAACCAGGCTCATTATCCAAGCCACAAAAGCCCGGAGTCCCTCAGCACCTCCTCCAAACCCAGCGCCCTTTCGTCTATTTGCTTTTATTAATGAGACTGAAAACGCTAGGCTGAAGCAGAAGCTGGGGCCGAGGGACAGGTCCTAGCCACGGTCCCTTACAATGAGTGAGCACTAGCCAAAGGCACGGTGCTCCCTTAAACAGCACCCTAGGGAGCAGCTTTGGGGGAAGAAGGGGGTTGTGGTGCCATATCTCAGTGCAGAGGCAGGTACTGCTCTGCCAGGGGCTGGAGACTTGGGCCACAAAGGTTGAGGAGTGGACCGACTGCACCTCTCTGCTGGGGAGACCATGGTTTCCTGTGGGTTGGTTTCCCCCTTTCAAAGGACAAAGACTTTTTTGGACCTCACCCGCAAAGGAAGCTATCGCTGCAGGACAGAGAGGGGCCCAGCAGGGCTGGGGAGAGCCCGGGATGGAAATAGCTGCTGATCAGGACAAGGGTGCAAAGCCAGGGTCTCGGGACAAGTCAGGTGCAAGAAGCATCAGCGGCGCTGGGAGAGCCCCGCGGTGAAGTCTTGAATTCAGCATTGCCTAATCCGCTGAGTCCTTTCCAGAAATCCCAGCTGCTGCTACACTTAGTGTTTAAAAATAGCCTGCTTTTAATAGGCAAGGGTAATGTAAAGATACATCCTCTCACTGTATGCCACAGCATCTCCCCCTTCCCTCATAAACAATGCATCCATCCCGCTCGGTCACCTGAATAATACGAACCCCCTTCCTGCCATTTCCTGCTCTGCTCAGTCCCCGTCGTGTACTCAGATGGAGCCCTGTTGAGACCGGGATTTTGGCTTGGCTCAGAGCCCTGCAGGGAGCTGATTGTTTGGTCCTTGGGGGAATGGGGCGACTGCTCTTGGCAAATGGTTCCCAGCAGGTTACGAAAATAAACAACAGAGGCACTGGCAAGGAGTTTGCTCCAAGCAGGGTTAGACAATGCGGTGCTCGAACCGCCTGGGTCTACGGACGCTCCTGCTCCCAATCGTGCTCCTCTGCTTGGAGCTGCTGGAAAAGCCTGGCTTCAGAGATTTTCCCCAGGTCCAGCCAGGACAAAATCTAGGGGTGCTGATTCTCACGTCCGGGCTGGAACTACTAGCCCACCCCTCTTTCATGGGCTCGTGTGTCCTTGGATGCAAGTTGACTCGGCGGCCACCAACAGAGGGGATGCTCCTGTCCACCTGTTCTTGCCACTTGTCTATCTTGGGGATCTGTGTTTGAGGCAGGAGAAGTGCTCCTTTCCGGCCCTGGACATGGGACGTGTCAGTGTGTTGCACACGGCTGAGGAACAGCTGCCGTTCCCAGAGGTGACACGTGGAGGGGTCGGATGACAGAAGAAACCTCCAAAGAAGAGAAGGGAAACTGCTGCTCACAGGCAGCTCTGGAGATGAGAGCAGCTGGGATTAAAATCCTCACGCCTGCCAGATTCGCTTCCAGAAACCTTCTCCCAGGTGCCATCCTTTGCTGGGGAGAGCTCCCCCAGGTATTATTCCACCTGCCCGGCCAGGGGGAATACAGGGTTAACTCCAAAAGAGCTGTAACACTAGCCATGCTCTGAAACTCAAGACAGATTGATGGGCCCTAGTGACACACATGAGATTAATTTCTTCTAATTTGCTTAATACAAATAATAGATCTCAGAATATGACTGGAGGCGACAGGCAGCCTTTGGGAGGCTATTAGAGGCTTCTAAAAATAGTCCCCGATCTCTCAGATGAAGCTGGTGCTGTATCCAGAATTTCTCCCGAGTGGGTGACCCCAGGGTCAGCTCCTTTGCTGGCCACCCTGTCCCTCTCTACCCCACAAACACAGATCTGTGACCTTATAACCATGGGGCTGATCATTTGATTCCTTGGGGGACAGAAGGAGATGGGATAATTGCTCTTAACCAGTGGCTCCCAGCAGGTGAGGGGGAG